GCTGAAACCATCAGGTGAAAGATCATCCAGTAAACACCCAAGGAGGAAGAGAAGAATATTAGTAGTCAATGATTCCCTGCTCAGGGATACTGAGGCAGCTATTTATCCAATTTAGAACAGCAATTAAGAAATATGCTATCTTCCCAGGGCATGTATCCAAGGCATAACAGGGAAACACTCAAGACTTACCAATTAAATGTTAACTACCCATTTCTAGTGATTTACATGGGCACCAATGACACTTCCAGAAGGAATAAAAAATATTGCCAACAATTAGGAAGTTTTGGACAAGAAACTGAAGACCATAGGGTCATAGGCTGTATTTTTCCCCACTGTTATCCAGTGAAGTCAAAGGATTCAGAAGAGAAAAATTAATCTGGAAAGTGAATAGCTGACTCAGTAGTGCTTAAAATTGGATTTGGAGTTCTAGACCATAGCTTAAAAAATAGAGATTCCTTACCTGAAATGGAATGCATTTGACAGTGGCTGATAAGAATGTGTTTTCTAGATGCCTTACAAATTTAATCAAAAGAATTTCAAACTAAAAGAAACAAGGAAAGGAGAAGACTACCTGTGTATGTCTTCCAAGTTATATACCACAGAAAGCAGCAACAAAGCAAAAGTAGTTGAAGTACTCCAAAATTTACAGGACACAAAATCTAAAAAAGTCAATAATAAAACACATAGCCTCAATTGTCTCTACATAAATGCCCAAATCTAAATAATAAACAAAAGGAATTAGAGGTCCTAATGCAAGGAGGTAAATTTAACCTCATAAGTATCACTGGGTCTTGGTGGGCTAAAACTCATGACTGGACTATGGCTCTAAATGGGTTGATTCAAATGATTCAAAAGAACAGGTTAGGAAAAGGGGGATAGGAGGATACTGTATCTTAAGAAGGTCTAATTATGTGAGGAAATATAGGAGCCAGAAAGGGGAAGATCTGAGGGAGGGAGAAACTGAAGTGATTTTGTCATTAGAATTGGACAGAAAGAGGTAATAGATGAAGAGTTACAAGAAGGTATCACAAACCTGACACAGAAGCAAGATTTAGTGTCAGTGTAAGACTTCAATTATCCAGGCACTTGTTGGATCGCTCTCTTTTCCTTTCCCCTTTCCCATCCCCTCCCATTGTCCTCCTTCCCCCTCTCCCTCTCCTTTAGACCACATTGTATGAGGATCAGTTGAAGGAAGTAAGGATGTTTAAGTTGGAGAAGAGAAAACCCAGGGGAAACATAACTGTCTTCAAGAATGTAAAGGGCTATCGTGTGGAAGAGAGATTAGGCTTGTTCTGTGTGGTCCCAGAGGGAAGATCCTGATGCAATGGGTGGAGGTTACAAAGAGAAGTAGAATGGGCTGCCTTGAGATGTGATGGGATCCCTCTCCTGGTAGATGTTCAAGCAGAGGTTGCCCGTATGTAATAATGGGGGCTCTTTGCATGTATGGGCTGTATTGGATGGCCACTGAGAACCCTGTGAACTCTCAAATTCTGGGATTCACATTGTCCGCTGAGTACTTTTCTACCAGGTACTTTGAGGAAACCCTAGATGTGATCCCAAATCTAATCTTCTCATAAATCGTCTCCTAGGCACCAGAATGGGAGTATAAGGAGCCAAGGAGTTTGAGAAAAGGAGCATAACTTGTTATCAGAGTCCAGGCTTCCCCAGAACTGAACCTAGTCACGGCCACAATCAATAGAAATGTATTCGACTTAGTGGTTATTTCAATCCTTCTTTAGAAGAAGCAGTGAGGAGAACTGATAGTCTTGATCTGATCCTTACCAACAAGGAGGTCAAGACCCAAAAAGATCTTGATAGGCTTGAGCGTTTGGGCTGAATCTAACAAGACGGGAATTCAGTAGAGATAAATGTAAAGTCCTACACTTGAGTACAAAAGTCAGCTTCACAAGGACAAGGTGGAGGAGGCATGATTAGACAGCACTTACTCTAAAAGAGGTTCTGGCCTGCAAGCTCAATGTGAGTCAGCTGTGTGATGTGGCTGCCAAAAAAAACCTAAAGGAATCTTGAATTCCATTGAGAAGTGCACCTGATGTAGCTAACGTAGAAATGCCAGGAGCCTAAGGTGGACATGATCACTTAATATGAGAATTTGTCATAAAGATAGGAAGGAGAGCCAGGAACAGCCTGGTGTGCACCCTAAAGTTGGCGGAAGCAGATTAAAAAGGGTTCAGAAAAAAAGATAGGCTACTCTCCTGGACTTAATGATCTGCAGAACCCATCATCCTGCAAGAGAAAATTAACTCTAACTCTCACCTCCTCAAATCATTGCCCCAGCTGCTGGACTTCATCATGCCTCCCATGCTAACTACACTTCTCACCCCCTTTTCAGCTCCTTTTTAGTTGTTTTCTCCCATTAGATTATAAGCTTCTTGAAGGCAGAGATTGCCTTACACTTTTCTTTGTGTCCCTAGTGTTTAGCACAGTTCCTGGCAAATAATGAGTATTTATTGACTCTGACTCTGGATACCTTGGACTAAAACTCTCTGTTAAGCCAGAATGGCAAAATGGATGGAGGAATGGAATTGGAACCAGAAAAACCTGAGTTCTAATCCTGCTTCTACACTTACTTGCTGTATATCCATGGGCAAGTCATTGAAAACTCCCTGGGCCTCAGTTTCCATATTTGTAAAATGGGAATGTTGCTTTTGCTTCAAGTATTTCTTGTCCTTACCAGAGGCCATCTTTGTGGTTAGCATGAATTCATTTACCAGAACCTGACCATGCCTAATTGAACTGATTAGAACAAGGAACTGCACAGCTAAGAATGGAACAATGAACCGTAGTTATTCTGTCAAGGTGTAGTCTCTATAAAGGACCAGTCTGAAAGTCTGCCAGCTTTACCCCTATTCTTCATAGAAAGCAATAGAAATAATTTTAATGACCCAATTGAAAGCAATAAAAATCAACAGGCAGAAGATAATACAAATAAACTCAAATTAATCTTTCTTTGACCACTAGATGTGGTTTCGGCCGTATTTATGAACTTAAGTATATTTGATATCCTGGGTATATCCCTCAAAAGTAACATTTCATAATGGAGTAAATACTGTTTTTGGAGACAGAAGATCTGGATTTGAGTCCTGGCTTCAGCCCTTACTTGCTACATGACCCTAAGCAAGTCACTTTACCCTCTTTAGATTTCTGTTTCCTAATCTATAAAAAGGTTATAATAATGCTTGTCATATACCTATATTATTTATAGGTTATATAGGCATATATTATCTATTTCACAGGGGTGTTGTCAAGAAAGTGCTTTACAAACCTCCAAGTGCTACATAAATGTGAGTTATTTTTTAAATTCTCATTCTCTTCTTCAGTGGGAATTCATATAGAAAGATAAGCCGCTTTCTATTTTTCTTTTATATTAAATGTTCTACATACATTGGTACAGTTGGCTAATCTTGCATCATCATGGTCATTATTATTATTATTATTATTAATATTATCATTACACAAAGAAAACCCCCAAGGGAGAACTGACTCACAAAGATTTGAAAAGCTGCCAATTTCTCTATCTCACTCCTTCTGACTTCACCTCTCTTTAATCATGCTTGGAATGGACAGCATTCCCTTAGATGGAGTCAAAGTCCCAGCCTGAACACTATTTGCATATTGTCAGCTCACTTCTTCCTTGCCTGTTAGAGGAGGAGAAATTAAGGTCTTTTTGTTTAGGTCTGGTCTGGAGGAAATAGTGTTATACCTGAACGTGATCTAGGACTCCACCCTCCTCCCACCTCCAATCCTGTACTCATCTAATTCAATTCCAATTTCCTCACACCTCTTCAACACTTGCCCACTTTTCTATTTCTACCAACACCAAGCTTGTTGCTTAGTTTTGTTTCCTCCTTTCTAGACTATAACATGCAGTCTCTTAACTGATTGCTCCATCTCTAGCCTCCACCAGGTCCCTCACACCCCAATCCAGACTGATTCAGTGGATTGAGCACCAGACCTGGAGTCAGGAAGACCTGAGTTTGAATCTGACCTTGGACATCAACTGGACAGGTCAACTAAGTTTCTTCATCTGTAAAGGGGTGATAATAATAGCTTCTACCTTCCAAGGTTGTTGGAGAATAAAATGAGAATGTTTGTAGTTTACAAGCCTAAAAGGCCATGTAAATGCTAGTTATTATTATGCTGCTCCTAAATTAATTTTCCTTCTGCACAATTTTGATTGCATCACTCTTCCACTCAAAAGACTTCAATGGTTTCCCCTTACCTACTGAACGCAGACTAGATTCCTCAGCCTCACATCCAAGGCCCTCCACAACCTACTCTGCATATCTTGTGTGTAGTTTCATTGCCTCTTCCCATTATACTGTGAGCTCCTTGAAGGTAGGGACTAGTTTTGGCCTTCTTTGTAACCCCAGGGTTTAGCACAGTACATAGTCACTGCTTAATAAATTATTTTTATTTGAATGATTGATTGATTCCAACCTATTTTCCTAGGCTTATCTATTGTTATTCCCCTTCATGGATTCTATACTGTAGCAAAACTGCACTATGCATCAGTCCCCAAACATGATCCATGTGATCTCTGTGATTTCTCTTACATTAATTAACATTGGAATTGCCTCTGGACCAACTCCAGCTGTTGACATTCTCATTTGTATTTTAGTTTTTTGTGTATATATGATCTACCTTACTAGACTGTAAGTTCCATGAGAGTAGGGACCAAGCCCTAACTAAATTTGGCATCTCCAGGGGCAGCTAAGTGGTACAGTAGATAGAGTACCAGCCGGGAAGTCAGGAGGACCTGAGTTCAAATCTGGCCTCAGACCAAACACTTGATACTTACTGAGTGACCCTGGGCAAGTCACTTAACCCCAATCGCCTAAAGATTTTTTAAAAAATAAATAAATAAATTTGACATCTCCCTCAGGGACTAACATAGTGTCTTGTAGAGAGAGCAATTCATAAAAGTTTGTGGAATGACTGAATGCTTTAATAAAGAAGGCAGTTAAACAAATAAATAATAATGACAATAAGATTTATTCCAAATAAACCATAACTCTGGATAATTGTGAACTGATTGTAAACAGAAGAAGGAACTGAGCAGACTGGCTGCCTGTGGACTCCAGAGAGGCAAGATTAATCAGAATCCATCTTTGCTATCAATAAAGGTGGATTCTGTTATTGGTGGGTCATCACATCTGAATCCATCTCTAGGTAAGAGTCCCAGTGAAATCACTGTAGATGGATATACTTAAAGTGAAGATATCACTTAACTCCCTCAGTCCCCTTCTCTCCAGTGCCCTACATCCCTTCTAAATGGGAAGTTCTTTATGCTATAGAACTCAAGTCCCTCTTGCAATCAAGATGATGTTTTATTGTTGGCAGAACTTAAGATTCAACAATGGGTCAAACAAAGCTAATGTATCATTCTATTTCCTATTTACCCATGCAGTAAAATGTTAGGCCATATACTAAGTCCCAGCAACAGTGAAGCAGATCTCTGGGAATCACTATTACTCTGCACACATCACACATGTAGCTATAGCCGCCTTTACAGAATTCCACAGGGAAGCCCATCTCTCAAAGACCTCACTCATCACTTCAGCTCAACCCCATTCCCACTGCTAATCTTCTTCTAGTCTGAATTTTTCCAACTCCCTTCCTCCCTCCCCCTCGGACAACCCTTACTGTCCTGTGTTAGAAGAGAATGTTGAATTCATTTGCCATTCATTGGGCTGGAGACCATGGGTCATGGAACACAAACCCCTTGGCTGCATTCAGGACCCCGCAAATGGCTTCACTACCCTTATGCTACCATTTGGACATCTTTTGTTCATTTCCTTCTTCTCACTATTTCCCTTCATTGGCATTAGATGGTAAGTAGATTAGGGGTGGGAGAGAGCAAGAGAGAGATAAATGCCCCCAGGGGTTGTGTGATCCTGGTACAGAGGCAAAAAGATGGGTAAGATAGACAAGGGCATTTGGTTTCATATTCTCAGCCCATCAGTCTTGGGCAAGGTTCCTTTCTCTATCTTCTTCTCCTCAGGCTGAGTATCTATCCAGAATGGCAGACAGTGGGGTCTGAGACTGTCAGGCACATAGGATGGCACCACTGAACTCCTGACTCCCCTTCCTCCATGGGTAGGCTTGGGGGAATCATTTGAAATTCTCTAAGGTAGTTTAAGAGGGAGAATAGCCATAACCTGAGCCTCTCTGGGGAGGAAAGGGACAGTGGAAAGTCTCTGGGAGTCACTAGTAGATTTGGAAGGTAGAGAATAGGGGTTCAAATTCCTCTTTTGCTTCTCACTAATGTGTGACATTGGACACAATCTCTCCTAGTTTCACAGGTGACTAGGACCAAGCTTATATGTGACACACTGTTGACCCCTCTCACCCCTACCTCATCCAGAAAAGGGTCTTTTCCCTCTCAAGAGCTTAAGGAGAAACTGGATCCTCTGCCCCAGAGCCCAAAGAAGGGAAAGATCTTCCCAGTGAAAGAGGCAGTGAAGGTATAGATGGGCTCTTGAGTGGTAGCATTGCTAAATGTCACCCAGCCCACTTCATAATCAAGGGAGACACGGATTTGCCTGGGATTCTCTTCCAGGGACAGCCTGGTAGGGAAGGAGCCCAAAGCTGAAACAAAACCCCAGGCCAGGCGCACGGCCCATATCCCTTCCTCTGGCCTAAGCTTGAGTTCTCCTTTCCGTCGGACATCCTGGTTCACCACACCCACAGTGCAGCTGCCCCCATGGGCCAGGTCCACAGTTACCACCCATGTGTGCCTCCCTCCCACAAAGCCAGCCTGAGCTAGGACACAGATGGCCCGGTCAAAACGTTGTGGACTGTCTGGTGAGGTCTGCCATTTGTAGGAAAACTGGGCCCGCTGTTGATCTTCTGATAGAAGGAGCTTGGGGTGGGATGTCTGGGGGTCTAAGAAGATATGGGCTGAGAGGAAGAGAAGAATGCATACAATTAACATTGATGTCATAACTGCATGGAGAAGGTATAAAAATTGCATTTGGCATCAATTTCTCACTGCAGCCTAGGCCCTTGCCCCTTAGATCACCCTATATATATTACTAACTTCCAACCTACCCTATGGGACCAAGACGGCCCCTTCCTTTATTCAACTAGTCTGCCCTTCTTGGAAAGAAAACTTGATCTCGAAATCAACAGACCTGAAGTCTAATCTTAAACTTTCCCACTAACTTACCCTGTGACATTACACAGGTCACTTTACCTAGGAGAAAAGGCATCACAGGTCTTAACCCAACCCTCTTATTTTCCAAAAGAAAATGAATCCCAGGCTGGCAAAGTGATTTGCCCAAGACACACATATAGTAAGTAGCAGAGCTGGGATTCAAACGCAGGTCCTTTGACTCAAAATCCAGCATTCTTCCATCTGGGAACAGGACTGCCGTCTCCTCATTTCCCATGTCACTGCACTCATTTTGGACTTGTTTGCTTTCTCCACTGTACCCCCATGCCAGATACTTCTCTCTCCCCTTTTCAGCTTTCCTTTATGTGTCTTCCCTCATTAGATTGTAAACTCCTTCAGGGCAAGGCCTGTCTTTTTCATATCTGTATCCTCAGCACTTAGCACAATGCTTGGTTCAGAGTAGGGACTTAATAAATGTTTATCAACTATTGATACTTGGTCCTTAGTTCTTTCTGTAAATTAAGGGTATTGGTCTAGATAGTCAACAAAGTCCTTTCAAACCAGAGGTGAGATGGAGTTAGATTATTCAGCTCTGGAGGGTCGATTGCTAGAATTTTCAATATGAGCATTAACACCTTAGACAGCTAGGTGGTGCAGTGGGTAGAGTGCCAAGCCTGGAGATAGGAAGACTCCTCTTCATAAATTCAAATCCAGTCTTAGACATGTACTGTGCGAATCTGGGCAAGTCTCTTAACCTCTGCTTGCCTCAGTTCCTCATCTGTCAAACGAGTTGGAAAATGAAATGGCAAGCCACTTTTTGCCAAGAAAATCCGAAATGGGGTTATGAAGAATCAGACACCACTGAAACAACTCAACAACAAAAATTTATACCTTGGAAATTGGCAAACATTACAAATAAGGCTTAATTTATTGTCCTGTTGATTGTGCAGACTTAAGAAAGTGATAAAGTGTGTCACGAATATATATATATTTTTTCCTGCAGATAACCAGTTGTTAAACACTTACCAGCACATCCCAAATTTCAAGGCCTGATCTTCTGCAATGCCATGATCCACTTACATGGACTCCATTCTTAGTAGACTGATGAGGATGTGCTCTGAGTCCTAGTATAGGTCTTTTCTCATATCTATAGTGCCCTCTCCCCTCCTGCCTGCCCAGTAAAGGCCAGTCCCATCTTCCAAATTTGACTTAAAGGCTCCAGGAAGCCTTCTCTAAGGCACATCCATTCCACTTGGATTCACCATTCAATTCAACAAATAGTATTGTTGTTCAGTGGTTTCAGTCATGTCAGACTCTCAGTGAACCCATTTGGAATTTTCTTGGCAAAGATAATTGGAGTGGTTTGACATTTCCTTCTCCAGCTCATTTTACAAATGAGGAAACTGAGGCAAACATGGCTAAGTGACTTGCCCAAGGTCACACAAGTAGGAAGTGTCTGAGGCCAGGTTTGAACTCATGTTTTCCTGACTCCAGGGCCAGCGCTCTATTCACTACACCTAGCTGCCCTTCAATAAACAGTACTTGGAGATTTAGTAAAGGAGCAAACCTAATAATAATAGCTAACATTTATTAGCATTTATTATGTGCCAAGCACTGTGCTAAGTGCTTTAAAATTATTATCTCATTTGGTTGTCACAACAAACCTGGGAGATATGTGCTATTATTATCCCCATTGTATAAAAGAGGAAACTGAGACAAACAGAGGTTAAGTGACTTTCCCAGTGTCAGCTAGTAAGTGTCTGAGGCCAAATTTGAACTCAAGCCTTCCTGGCTTCAAGCCCTGGACTAAATCTACTATTCATATATGTAGCCCACCCAAGAAAGTCCCCAACGGTAAATATTGTCTTTTCTTCTTTTGGCATCTCCTTAAGGTATGTCCCATACAGAGGTCCTACACAATTCTCTCTTCTTGTTTGGGGAAACCAGGATAACCCTAACGCACATGTCCACACTTTTCTTGGCCCCAAGACACTCACCTGGTTCATAGTCCAGTTCAAAGAGCAGTTTTTCTGTGGAAAGAGGGGAAAAAAACAGATGGGATTTATGCCAGATCTAAGTGAGCACTTAGAAAGAGTTCAACTCCTCTTTTGTCAGACGCTGAGAAGCAGAAAGTGAGGGAAAGAGGCTCATAGAAGTCCATGCAGGGATGTGCTGGCTTTCCAGAGGCAATTGTTAAATTTTTAGTGTGAGCATGTATACCTCAGAAGTCAGTAATTACTACAAATCAGGACTTGATTTATTATTTTCATTGTCTAAATTTAAGAAAGTGATGGAGAAAATGTTCAAAATGCAGATTATTAAGTGTATATGCATATATTTGTACCGTCCCCCCTCCCCATCCCCACCCCCAGCCTGCTGTTAAATATTTACCACACACACACACACACACACACACACTCACACATACTATAGGCTGATAATAATAATCACTGGCATTTATATAGTGCTTTAAGGTTTGCAGAGTGTTTTACATTCATAATCTCATTTGAAGCTCACAATACCCCTGGGGTCAATGTTAGCAACAAGGGAGAAACAGAGAAGAGATGGGTTAACATTACTGGTGGCAGTGTGAAATAATAAAGACAGTCTTGGACTAGAAGTCAAGAAACTTACATCCAAGTCTTGGCTCTGTTACTTATTGGCTGTGCAATCTTGGGAAAACCATTTCCCTTCTCTCACCTTGAGTTACCCCATCTGTAAAATGAGGCAGTTGGACTAGATGGTGTCTAAAGTCTCTTCCAGACCTAGCATTTTTGATTCTTCATTATCAATATTTATTATAAATGCTGTTGATTTTTCCTATTGTTGAGGATTACTTTTGTTAATAATTTTCATTATTTTACTACTGATATGAATCCATTTTTTCTAGCACTTTAGATACTTTTTTTCCCCTCAGAAATGTTAACTATCATTTTACATTCTCTTCACATCATCACCATGAAAGGGAACAGAGATTATCCTCCTTGTATTATCGAATCTGGAGATGGGGAAACTCAGACCCAAACCGGTACAGCAATTTGCCAAAAATCATGCAGCAAATCAGCAGGGGAGCTACGAAGCAAATCCAGGTGCTGTCTATCAAGAAAGAACTTTACATCACTTGAGACTACAACATGTGGGATCTGGGACAACCTTTCAAACGCCCCTAGGATCTGGGCATATGTGGATCCTCTTACCCAGAAACATCTTCATTTCCCTCTGCAGTTGAACGGCCTGTTGAGGGAAGTCCCGGATCTTCTCACCCAGGTCAGGTGACACAGCCTCTGGTTTCCGGCACTTCCTGGTTTCACACCTAGAAAAACACCACACACATACACACACACACATACACACACACACACACACACACACACACACACACACACACAAAGAAAAACGATGAGATCCTAGCTATTACCCTTCTTAGAGATTCTTTGGGCACTCTGAGCTGGTCACTAGTTTCTTTTAGCTCTGGAGCCCCAAGTCCCACAGCCCAGGGACACTTTCTCCAAAAGGCCAAGATTGAGGCCAACCCAATTTTCCCTTTGAGGCTTTTTTAAAGTTGGGGATGTATGTATGTGTGCGTGTGTGTATGTATATATGTATATACATATATATGCAATAAATACAGGGATTGGCTTTTTTTTTTTTTGCTTAGGCAGTTGGGGTTAAGTGACTTGCCCAAGGTCACATAGCTAGTAAGTGTCAAGTGTCCGAGGCTAGATTTGAACTCAGGTCTTCCTGACTCCAAGGCCAGAGATCTATCCACTGTGCCGCCTAGCTGCCCCAAATACAGGGATTGGACTAATGATTTCATAGGCATATGATTTCACACCCCAGTGAATAAAATCCTTGTATCAAGGCAGGTCAACACCATCTTTGCAACTTATAGTCTCTGTCTAGACAGAGAGAAGTTAAGTGACTTGCCCAAGAAGAAACAGTCAGAAAACGTCAGAGGCAGAACTTGAACCCAGGTCTTCCTGGCTCCAAGGCCAGATTTCTATCCACTGTATGCTGATTCTCTTCTTATATGGATATATAATAATACTAATAATCCAAATTTAAATAGCACTTTAAGAATGAGAGTATACTTTCCTCACAACAACACTGTATAAGAATTATTATTCCCATTTTTCAGATGAGGCAACTAAGCCTCAGAGGGGGGGAAGTCACTTACCTAAGATGACATAACTAGAGAGTAACAGGCTGGAACTCAAACCTCCAGGATTATTTCCACACTCTGCTCTCTCCCTCTTCCTCTCCGTCCCTCCCTCTCTCTCCCTCTCCCTCCCTTTCTCTCTCTCTCTCTCTCTCTCTTTCCCCATGGGTTTGTGGGTACTTGTATATGTCTGTTTATATGTATACAGGTGTGAGCTTACTTGTCTGGTGCATGTATATTGCCTCTGAAACATCACATAGCCCTTTCCTTGTACCCCTCTCATTATTGTTCTTCAGTCGTTTCCAGTTGTATCTAATTCTTTGTGACCCCATTTGGGGTTTTCTTGGCAAAGATACTGGAGTGGTTCTCCATTTCCTTCTCCAGCTCATGTAATGAATGACGAAACTGAGATAAACAAGGTTAAGTGACTTGCCCAGGGTCACACAGCTAGGATGTGTCTGAGGCCAGATTTGAACTCAAGAAGATTGAGTCTTCCTGCCTTGAGGTCCAGCACTCTATCCACTGCCACCTAGCTGCCCCATCCCTCTCATGCTCTTCTCATATTTTATTTATGTTAGTTATTGTGTAAGTACTTTATTGCATCTGTTAGATTATGAGTAGCCTGAAGGCAGGAACCTTCCCAGTGCTCAGCACATAGTAGGTATTTGTTTGGTTGGTTAGAGTATTGATTTTTGGGCAAGCCCACTCCACCATCCAATGCCTCCACGAAACTCTCAAAACTCTAAGTTAAGAATAACTGCATTGGTCGACAGTTTCCTCACTGAGAATCCTCTACACCAGTGAAATCACAGGTCTGAATCAGATAATGATGATGATGATGATGATGATGATATTATGATGATGATGATCAAATTAAAATTGACTATGTGCACATACGTGTAATATATGTGTATAATATATGTGTATATAATTCATGCATATATGTTTAATGTATATGTATTTTTTGTATTTGTGTGTGAGATAGGAAGAAGGGAAAAGCAAGAATCACTTGCCTGATCAAGGTGCTCCTGATGTCCTAAAAGAAAGAGAAATACCAAGCATTCAGTTCCCATGTTTCCCATCTTTCCTGAAGGTCACTCAAAACTCTTGAGCACAGTATCATAGGATCTCATCATTGCAAGAGACTCCAAAAGTCACATCTAATTCAGGGCTTATCTGAAGTATGAATCTCACCTACAACATTTCTAGTTAGTGCTTAGCAATTATCCAACCTCTGATTTGCCATTTCCAAGAGGCTGGGAACTCACTACATTATGAAGCAGTCTGTTCTACTTTGGGACAACTAATTATTAGGAAATTATTTTCCCTTATTTTAGGTAGAAATCTGTCTCTCTCTACTGACTTTTCCCCCATTTTATTTTCTTTTTATTCTGAACTTAAAACAACAAATAAAAATAACATTCCACATTCAATGTGGAACAGAAGGAAAGCATCACACATCAAATGTGAATCTCCATTATGTTGAGCTTGCTTTTCTTTTTAATATTAAAAAAATTAAATATGTAACTTTCAAAGTTGTCCTATTTGTGGTTCTTTTTGGTCTTTCTTTTGTTCTTTTCTTATCATGGCAGGGGCCAGGGGCAGAGCTAGGACTGGAAGATAGGGGAGGTGGTCGTTCCTATCCCTACTCTCCCTCTGGGTATAAATGTTTAACAACCAGTTCTCTGGAAGAAAAAAATGTATACATAAAACACTTTTAAGTTTAATTTGCATCATAAACATTAGCTCCATCATTTTATTAAGTCTGCACAATGAACAAAACAATAAATTAAGCCCTTTTATTGTTGTTTTGTCAATTAGTTGTATCTGACTCTTTGTGAGCCCATTTGGGGCTTTCTTGACAAAGATACTGGAGTGATTTGCCATTTCCTTCTCCAACTCTTTTTACAGATGAGGAAACTGAGGCAAACAGGGTTAAGTGACTTGCCCAGGGTCACATAGCTAGAAAGTATCTGAGGCTGCATTTGAACTCAGATCCTCCTGACTCCAGGGCCAGCACCTTATCAACTGTGCCACCCAGCTGTCCAAAATTAAGCCCTAATTGGTAGCATCTGTTAATTTTTGAGATGTAAAATGCTCACCCTGAAAATTTAGCAGTTGGCTCCTGCACACAACTAAATCTCTCTCTTACTTCCTTCCTCCATAACTTCTACCTATTATTTTTGCTAGCCCTTGGGGAGGCAGGAATTGACCTCCATGGTACTGCCCATGCTCCTGCTGCCCACTTGAAAGTCCAAAACATCTTTACTGCAGAAAGAGGGAGGGAGATCCTTTCGAGCTCTGAAATCCTGAATATTTGTAAAGTGACTGCTTCACAAGGTAGACCATTTTGTCATTATTTCCTTCTAATTGTTACCAGGCAGCTAGGTGGTGCAGTGGACAGAGTGTTGGGCCTCATGTCGGGAAGACTCATCTTCCTGAGTTCAAATCTGGCCTCAGACACTTCCTACTTGTGTGACCCTGGGCAAGTCACTTAACCCTCTTTGCCTCAGTTTCCTCATCTGTAAAATGAGCTGGAGAAGGAATTGGCAAACCATTCCAGGATCTTTGCCAAGAAAATTCCAAATGGGGCCATGAAGAGTCGGACATAACTGAACAACAAATTGTTACTCAGTTCCTCCTAATATCGAGTTGAAATTTGCTTTCCTGAACTCATTGGTCCTATCTCTGTCCTACAAAAGAGAGAAGGGAGGGGCAGCGAGGTGGTACAGTGAATAGAGAACCAGCCGTGGAATCAGGAGGGCTTGAGTTCAAATCCAGCCCCAGACACATAACACTCACTAGCTGTGTGACTCTGGGCAAATGCCTCGCTGGAAAAAAAAAAAAATGAAAAACAACGAAAGAGAAGGGAGAGAGGAAGTACAGGAGGGACAGGAAAAAAGAGGTAATAATAACTCACATTTTATAGTTCTTTACAAAGAACACCACAGTGCCTGGCACATAGTAGGCCTTTAATAAATGTTTATCGATTGACTGTGAGGTAGGTATATAATAAATGCTTGTTCATTGATTATTTAAAGATTCCCAGAAAAGGGGATTCTATAGGCTCCTTCAGTTATCTGTTCCCATTTACCTCAACAAATAATACTGTAACCATCTTACAGAAGAAGAAACTGAGGCTCAAGATTAAGTGACTTGCCCTTGGTCACATAGTAAGTGTTGTAGTCTTGAAATGCCAGACATAATGACATTTGCAGTGTGCCCCAATGCCTATCCAAATGGCTTAGATGGAAAAAAGTGGGTCTGTCTCCACACCGCTCACCTTCAGGAGCTCTCTTGCTGGGCGCTCCAGTTTTTCTTCCAATTCTGATATCAAAGCATTAAAACGGCAGATCTCACTCTGGACAAGGGACTCAAACTCATTCTTCTGCTTCAAAATGTGTCCATCCAAGTCTTCCAGCTGGGTCAAAAGTGAGGACTGCTGCTTCTCCAGGAACTGGCACATGTGCTCAAATTCTGACATGACCTTCTCTCTCTTGGTGGCTACCTGAGTCTGGGGGAGCAGGGAGAGGGAACAACAGAGAGACGCCCAGAAAACGGTCCCTACCTCCTCCTCCTCCTCTTCTCCTTTGGCTCTTCCTTTTCCCCATTTCCCTCCTTCACTCCCATTCCATCTGCCTCAACTTAGTGATGCTGATCCTCCCCTGCACCAGACACACTCAAAAGTCCCAGAGAAACCATCTCCTTTATCCCTCATATGCGTATGGTCTAGAGGCAGAGAGGAGGCGTAAAATGAGCTCCCAGGCCTTGTCCAGATTGAGACGGAATCTCTACTAGGAGATCACCAGAGGCAAGAAGAGGATGGCACATGAGTGACTTACCAATAAGACCTGGATCCTTTGATCTTCCCTGGACCAGATTCCTTGAATGTCTTCTCTCTCATTCTTCAGAGATTCTAGACATCTATGGATTTGTTCCTGAAAAGAAGAGGGAAAGAATCCTTAGGATGGAAAATCAGAGGAATCCTTTGAGGGTCAGGGAAATTATCTTTTTCAGTCACTTGCCTCCCGGCAGGCCCTACAAATTAGGCTCTGTTCTCCCTTGATTCTCTTCCTAAGGGCAGGTAGGTGATTCGGTGGCTACAGCATGGATCTTGGAGTCAGGAGAATCTGTATTCAAATCCTGCTTCAGATACTTACTAGCTATGTGACCCTGGGCACAGGTCCCTTAATCTGTGCTTCAGTTTCCTCATCTGCAAAACTGAGATAATAACAGTGCCTACCTCCCAAGGTTGTTGTGAGGTTCAAATGAGAAGATATATACAAAGTGCTTTGAAAACCTTAAAGTGCTACGTAAATACTAGCTAACTCTATGTCTATTTGACTGTTCCCTCTCAAGCTCCTTTGATGGATATAACATTACTCATAAATGCGGGTGTTCCTCAGGACTATGTTTTGGACCCTCTCTTCTCTACACTCTTACCCTTGGCGATCTCACCAGCTTATATGAGTTTAATTATCATCTCTATGAGGATGACTCCCCAATCTATATTTCTGGGCCTGGCCACGAATCTGTTCTGTGAAGTTTGGATTCAGTCAAAGGCCTGTACTTTGGGACCTAGAGGGCCACATGTGGCCTCAAGGCCACAGGTTCCCCACCCCTGCAAGTCTGTCCTCTGAGCTCCAGTCCCACTTCATTAACTTCTTATAGGACGTTCCAAACAAGATGCCCCATAAGTGCCACGGCCAAACCAGAGCTCATCATCTTTTCTCCAAACCCACTTGTCTTCTGAACTTCCCTGTTTCTGTTAAGGCACCACCATCCTTCGGGTCACCGAAGTCCACAATCTCAATGTCATCTCTAATTCCTCATTAACACTTATCCCACACCTGAAATCAGTTGCCAAATCTCATCATTTTTATCTCCCCAACACTTCTCATGTTTGCCCCCTTCTCTCCACAAATACACACAGTAACCCCACTACTTCAGATTCTTATCACCTCCCCCCTAGGCTATTATACAAGATTTCTAATGGAAGCCCTGCCTTCAGTCTCTCTCCTCTCCAGTTCAATCTCTGCACAGTTGCCCAAGTGACATTCCTAAACCATAGTTCTCACTATGTTACTCCCATATTTAATAGATTCTAGTGGCTTCCATTTACCTCAGGCATCAAATACAAGTTCCTCTGTCTGACGTCTAAAGCCCTTGACAGCATAGCCCTAAACTACTTTTCCAGTCTTATGGCAGATTACTCCTCCCAGAATCTATTGCAATCCAGCCAAACTGGCCTTTTTGCTGTTCTTCATACATAGATGTCCCTCTCTGATCTTAGCATTGGTTGTTCTCCATGCCTGGAATGCTTTTCTCCTTGTCTCAATCTCATGGAATGACCAGTTTCCTTCAAGGCTCCACTTAGCCATCATTTTCATATGAGGCCTTTCCTGATGTCCTCAGTGGTTAGTGCCCTCCCCTCAAAATGATTTTGTATCTATTTTGTATATAATTCTCTCTCTCTCTCTCTCTCTCTCTCTCTCTCTCTCCCCCTCTCTCTCTCTCCACACACACACACACAGCTATATATTATATATAACATACACTATATATAAAACTATATATAGTTATATGCATAATAAATAATTATATATAGTTTTATACATAATATAGATGCACTATCTCTCACAACTAGATTGTAAGTTCCTTGAGGACAAGCACTTTTTTTGTTTTTATGTTTGTATTCCCAGGGCCTAGCACATGTTGTTGTTGTTGTTTAGTCATTCTGTTATGTTCAGCTCTTCATGACCTCATGGACCATAGCACACAAATACTGTCCATGGGGTTTTCTTGGCAAAAATACTGGAATGGTTTGCCATTTCCTTCTCCAGTGGATTAAGGCAAACAGAGGCTAAGTGACTTGCCCAAGGTCACACAGCTAATAAGTATCTGAGGCTGGATTTGAACTGAAGTCTTCCTGACTCCAGGCCCAGCACTGCATCTACTGAGCCTCCTAGCTGCCCCTAGCACATAGTGGGTACTTAAAAAATGCTTATTGATTGATTGATCATTTATTTAAATATTCCCAGACAAGGAGATTCTGTCAACATTCTCAGTTATCTATTCCCATTCAACTCAAAAATCATTAAGCATCTGGGGAAACAAAGACAAAAATTAAATGGTTCCCAGGAGGGCCAGGATTCACATTACATTGGATTCAAAATATGAAATTTCCAAAGTTTTTCAGAGCACATTCAGACCCTGGGCTCCTTTTCTCAAATCTCCTTCCCTCAGACCCCAAATCACTTGCCCGGTTTTCCTCAGATCCTTGTCACAATCTTTCCTTGACTATCCTTCATTGGATGGCCCTCTCCTCCTTTGCCTCTGTCTGTTCCTTGCATCCTACCCTGTTGGGGAGCCTGTCCTAAAGGCCAGCGTGAATCCATCACACTGAAGCTTAGGCCCAATTTCCTCTGGCTTGGTCCTCAGTCATGTATGGTCATTACATTTCTCATTTCTCTTCTCCCTTTAAAGGTAGTGTTTCCACTACAATCCAATGCTATATAACAAGCATTTATTGATTTACTACCATGTGCAAGGCACTGGTGGATACACTGAGGATACAAAAACAAAGACAAAAGGAAAAATAGTCCCTGCCTTCAAAGAGCACACATTTTATTAGAATAAAAAAGTATACACAAATGATTCAAGGAGTGAGAGATGAAGCTAGGCCTTCTAAAAGATGGAGGTGAGAAAAGAGGGAATTTCAGGCATTGGGGCACAGCCTATACAAAGGCACAGAGGTGAGAGATGGGACAGCAAGCAAGTATGTTAGTTTGACTAGAATTGAGAGTTCAAAAAGGGGATAATGTGAAATAAGCCTGGAAAGTTGACTGGAACCAGAATGTGGGTTACTTGGAATGCCAAGCTAAGTAATTTCTATTTTATCCTAGAGCAATAGGGAGCCATGGAGGATTCTTGAGCAGGGAAATACATGGTCAGACATACATGATATGATATTTGTATGAGATATTATACTGTAGAGAAACAGTGTGGGGTAGTGGATAGAGAGCAGATCTCTACTCAGAGTCAGAAGACCTGGATTCAAGCCCTGCCTTAAATATATTCTAGCTATGTGACCCTCATCAAGTGAATTTATCTCTCAGTGACCCAGAGACTCTCTAAGAATGTTACAGAACAATTGCAATAGTAGTGAGGGTTCCCTACACCAATGAAATCATAGGTCTTGATCCTTCCCCCTGTCTACCCCCAAAACTTACAATATTAGGTATTTAGGTTCAAAGGCCATTTCTTACCAATATCCACAACTAAATATTAATAGATATGTACCAGAGAGTTGAAATTATATCCAGCCTTTTAAAAACTAAGATAAAATAACCTACACCATCAATGAATCATGTTTCTATCTTAGTGATAGGAACTTGATAATATAAGTGTTTAAAGATATGAAAAGATTTTTTTTAAAAAAGCCAACAAAAAAGTCTCAAATCTCTCTCCTCCCTCCCATTCTGTTAATGTGCATAATATTTACCATGATTGATATAATCTTATCATACCTATCCCTAACCATCTTTCCTGAAAAATAAACATTTACCAAAAAAAAATAAACATCTACTTTCTTTCCACCTTCTTTTTTTTTTTGACAGGACATATATCCCTACCCTTGGCTTATTTGCTTTGGTCTTATTAGGACTCACAAGCTCTCCGGGTATTTCCCCTGGTCTCTCCAGGAGTACCTGACATCCCTCCTGGAAAAGGGAATAGACCCTAATAAAGCAAAATAGCGTAGTGAAAAGAGTACTAGAATGGGAGTCCAGAGAACACACTGCTCTTGTTGTCTCGATCCCTAACTAGCTCTGTGACCTTGAGCAAATCATATGACTTCTCTGGGCCTCAGTTTCCTCCTCTGTACAATGTGGAGGCTCGACTACATAATCTCTAAATCCCTTTCCAAAAAATGGAAAGCTAATTCTCAAAAATCCATGATCAGGAACAGGAAAAACATTGATAATATTTTTAAGATAAATAATTTGAAGAAAAATTCATTTGACTTTAGAAGAGAGTCAGAGATATAGAATTATGGAATCTCAGAACTAGAAAGGACCCCAGGGATTATTTAGTTCAATCCTTCCCTGAGCAGGAATTTTCTCAACAGCAGGTATTCTTCTAGTCTCCAAAGACATCCCTCCCACTCCCATTAATAGGAAGTCACAAATACATAAACGCACAGACACACACACACAAATACACACACACATACATACACATCAGAAAAAAAAATCATTTGGAGTGGTAGAGTGGAAAGAGCAATGGATTTGGAGACTGGGTACCTCAATTCAATTACCAGATCTGTACGACTTTTGGCGAAGCACTTGGGCCTCAATTTCCTCATTTGTAAAATGAAGGAATCTATGATCCTATGGGTATGTCGTAATGAAAAAGGAATAAACTCAGAATCAACAGACCTGGGTTTGAATCCTGCCTCAGCCATGCCAGCTGTGTGAATTTGTAGGATTCACTCAATCCATCTGACCCTCAATTTCTTCATCCCTAAAATAAGGATAATAATCCTCAGCAGTTAGAAAAGTCAAATGACACCATAGGATCATAGGCTGAGAACTAGAAAAGTGAACTTAGAGACCATCTTACCCAACTCTCTCATTTTACAGATGAAGAATCAAAGCCAAGAGGTTAAGTTACTTGCCAGGCCACACAGTAAGTAACAAAGCCAAGATATGAATCCAGGTCTTCTGACTCCAGAGGGAATCCCAAAAGTCTTCATTAAGACATTGCTGCCTCCACATAATAATGATAATGAATATAAAAATGTTTTGTAACCATTGAGGATAATACAAACCTTAAGTACTATGAATATTACTCAACAAAAATATATTTACTCAACCTCAAACTCATATACTTACACTTCTGTACTCAGCTGTACACTCAGATACACACATACAATAACACGTATGCTGAAATATACACCTAACAAACACTCATTCATGTAAACACTGACACATATAATCACCATACTCCACGACCAGTTCTTCTTCTGGGAGCTTAGCATCCAAATGGATGGGGAGATGGGGGGATTGAGAAGGTAGGAAAAGTGACCCTAGATCATTATAGATAATCCACAAAGCAGATAACTGAGAGATGACTGTATCCACAAGCACTAGATATTGTCTATCTCTAGTCCCAGGGTTATTTACTTGAAGAGAAGAGATCTGGTCCTGGGGAGTTTGGGCCATGGCAACATCTCTCCCCAATCTTTCTTACCCTGTAAGGATCTGCTGCATCCTCTAGGAAACGCACAGTATGAGTCCTGTGGTCCAGGGCTTCCCGGCACTTCACACACAACTGCTTTTCATCATCCTCACAGAAGAAGTAAATTTTTTCCTTATGTTCCTCACAGAGGTCCTCTCCCAGGACTGGAGGAGGTGCCAACTTTAGCTTCTCGATGTTTTCCACAACATTAGCCAGCTGCCAATTAGGCCGGAGTCCTTCAGGATGGAAGGGATCCTTGCAGAGTGGACAGATGGGTTGCTCACCAGGATCAGGACCAGGGATTTCACAGTAGCGAGTAAGGCATCCCCTACAGAAGTTGTGGCCACAGTCAATGGTAACAGGCTCTCTCAGGGTGCCTTGACAGATGGGGCAATTGACTTCATCTTCCAGGATGGTCAGGGAAGTAGCTGAGGCCATAATGGTCTCAATAACCCTTTGCTGTCCTCAGGGCTAGTCCTTTGTCTCCCCTTTTTCTGTTTGACTGTCTGGGATAGGAATAAGGAAAGGCAAGGAGGGGACAAACACACATATACTCAGATATGCACACAGTCAAAAAAACATTTAGACAAACACATACTCAAATACACATTTATATGTGAAAACTGATGTGCACAAACACATTTACATACATAGCCACATATAAATTTCAACAGTCACATATAACCTTATTTACCCCAGAGCACATATGCAGTCACACACAGAAGTAGCTGGCTACCTCCTACCCGGAGCCACAGGACTCCAGGTTTCTTTGTCCCCTTCTCCAACCCAAGCCAACATGCCATACCAGTCAACAACTGAGAAGGGGGAATGGTAGAAGAGAGACTTGCAGAGACTCCAGGGATGATGACCTTAAAAGCTCTCTGCTTTGGGCTCCATGGTCCGGTGCTCCCCACCCCCTCTGTCAGTCCGCACAACTATGACTGGGGAGGCTAAACCCAAATTCAACTCAGCAAGGTAACCAGATAATCCACTGCAAAAATAGCGTCTCCTCTTAAGTAGGTGGGGCAATAGGAAAGGAGAGAGCCCTGGGTCACATGGGGGTAATGACAAACCTGACCTCTCCCAACCCCAGCCCCCATGAGGGGGCCAGATGTCTCTAGGGAGATAGGTTCTATCAACTGCCTCAGGCTACTAACAGCTGTTTGGGAGGGATGTGAGGAAGTTCTGATAAGGGAACTGGTCCTTGGTGTTTTCAAGGGATTATACTCGCTCTGGTTTCCCTTTATGCTATGAGGTCAAGCAAATTAGGATGGGAAATGAGGTGGGGAATGGGGCCATGTAGCACAAACAGTGCTTTGAACAGGAGAAAGGAAAGTGAGATATTTGAGTAGGAGACAGGAGACAATGGAGTTGGAAGACTTGGTCACTTATTAGCTGAGTGACCCTGGGCAATTTGTTTAACCCTGCTGAGTCTCAATTTCCTCATATGTAAAATGGGAATGAAAAATCACTGTAATTACATACATTACAACATTAATGTGAGGATCAAATAGGATAACGGATTTATACCTACAAATCAGATGTTCTTAACCTTTTTTGTATCATGGGCCTTTTTGGCAGTCTGGTGAGGCCAACGAACCCTTTCTTGGAATAATGCTCTTAAATGGATAAAATTATATACATAGATTACAAGATAAATCAATAATATTCTAATACAGGTATCAAAATTGAAAAAAAAAAGATAGATTCATGGTCCCCAGGGTAAGAATCTCTGCCATAAAACGCCATATAAATGTAAATAATTAATATCAGGGTATTGTTATCAAAATTTGCCACACCTGAATATAGGCTATGCCCCAAAATGAGATTTATTTGGGGGAAAAAAAATAAAACAAAAAGAGAAAGAAAAAGAGAAGTATTTGCTGAACCAAAAAAAAAAAAACAATTTTAGGCTGCACGTAGATCTCCTACCAGCCAGATTTGAGGGAGAATACAACCTGTATTCAGACCAATATGGCATTATCATTTCTTCAGACATGATCTTTCTAGGGGTTGACTTTTGTACAACACATTAAGATTTAAAAAATGTTTTCCTCACAATAACTCAGTTTAAGACAGGTAATAAGTATAAGGATAAAGTGTGATAAGATAGGAGGGCTGTTTTGAGTCAAAATACCTGAGTTCAAATGTTAATTCTGCCATTTACTATCTTCAATTAAGAATAAGTCCCACATAAAGAGAGGGGCCTGCCTACAGTGAGACCTATCCTTGAGTGGTTCAAAGGCAGGCAGAATACACAGCTATACCTCTTCTTCCCCACCCTTCTCCAAGGGAGACTTTCATTCCTGCCAGGACAGGAAGCAGGAGGTTGCTCGGAGGCCACCACTCTGTTCTCCTCAGAGGAAGGGGACACTGGGCTAGAAGTATATTCATCTGTTCCTTTAAATATTAATGTTAACAGGATTTTTACTGAGCCAATCTCTAACCCAGGAATGACAAAACAGCAGGCCAGAGACAAAGTGCCAATTCGGTAGCAGTTTAATTAATTAATTTCATTATGAAGAACAGATCTGCAAATCGAGAATTCTCCTGATCAGAATTCCACCTTGCTGTAGTGAAGGCAGACATTATATACATAAATCACAAAGGGGAGGTGGATTACAAACAGTTGTTTCTCAGGGCCCAAACTGTTTCCCATGACAAGACCAAAATCAGGTATTCTGGAGTTCTGTGGGAACAGTATTGTTTCACATCCTTGGGGGTCACTACTTGGTGGGTCTGGGAACAGGTTCTACCGTCTTTGATTCACTTCACTTAAAGTATACAGGCACAAGAATGCAGTGATTGTGAGAGCATTGTCAAGGGTTTGATTGATCATTTCAAGCTGCACTGTAAGTTTCTGACTTGAAAGCCAGAGGAGGCAATTCTGAAAAATCTGATTAGTTTATTCATTACACATATCATATTAATATAAAAATCATAATTCCCTTCACATTATTCATCTAGGGGATATGATTAGATTTGATTTAACTTTTGATCACTTTGTCCTTTGGTGGGGAAAGGGAACCCCAAGCTCTATATGCAAGGCTTGACCCCTGGTTCTACAATGAACACATGTAACAAATAACAAAGAAACCCATTTATCTAAATCATAGATTTATTTATTTAAAATAGAAACTACAGAAGGTATACATAGGAGGATCTATACAATATAGAGTGGATGAACAATATAAATATAGACAATACAGAGTGAAGGAGCACTCCTGTTTGGATGCAAGATTATTCAGCTCAACCAAGAGAGATGGTCCTTGATCTCACCCAAGGGGAAACCCTCTGAAGTTTCTATGATAGCAAACTGGGAATAGAGACATGATCGAGAGTGCCAGCTCCTTTTATGCTTTCCCAGAGTGTTTTCCTTCAGCAAACTGAAATGGGGTTGGCCTCTTCCATCTTCTTTCTTGAAGCCCAAAATCAGAAGTGCCTAAAGTGACTTGAAGCTTGATGAGTTCCAAAGAGGGGCTGGCCTTGAACTAAACTCCCTTGACTCTTATGAACTCCATCTCACCCCTCAAACAAAGCAGAGTATTCTTCTCTATCACTGGACTTTGGAACAGGAGTTACGTGGCTTATCTTCTCTAAAATAATAAGATAAGTGGCTTATCTTCTCTAAAATTTATCTGTAAAATGAAGCAGTTGGACTAAATGACCTCTATTGTTTCTCTCAGTTCTTAATCTAAGACCCAGCATTTATCCTTTACAAATGAGGAAACTGAGGGTCAGAGAAGTAAGGTGACTTGCCATAAGTACAATGGTTACTAAGTGGTGGAGATAGGATTCAAACCAAGGTTGTCTGGTTGTTTTTTTTTTTAATTTGAAAAAACTAAAACTAGCCCCAGAATATGCTTCACATCCATTCATCCCAGACATCCTGAGTTACCTTGCTATCTGCCCTGCCATTCTCCCCCAGCTTTCTCTTTGACTTCTGGAAACTGCAAACAAATCAATACTACCATTGTTTCTGGAAAGGACATGACAATGGGCTGTCCTTCAGCTCCACTCACTATTCTGGGGATTCCCCAGACAAAAATCCCTTTCCTAGGCTACCATTCCCCTATTCCGTTGTCTCTCCTACTAGAATCAATAACTGCTTATATACCAATTTTCTTGCCTATATGAAATTTTTATAAGAATAATTTACATGTGCTTTGAGGTTATCCTCAATGAGGGAATTAGAAGGGAACAGACAAGCAATATTCCACAATGAGTCTTTCACACATGTCCGATGACCTAAGATGAAGACATTAGGAACCTCCTTCTGGGAGGCGACATCCTTCATTGGCCTACCACTTGGAGTAGCCTTGCTCCACTGGCTACTCTATGTCCACGTAGAACACAGCTGTTCTGTGATATAGAATCACAGACCCAGGAGTTTAAGCTATGGGGACTTCAGAATCCCATTACAACTAAACTGAGAAGTCAAGGTTCAGGGAAGCAAACCGGGAATAAAGCTAAACTGAGAACCTAATCCCTCTTCCTTCCTCAGAGGCTTCAATCTCTTAGTGGTATAGAGGGGATTATGTCCCCTAAATCAGTAAATCAGTTAATAAACATTTATTAAGCACCTACTATATTCCAGGCACTGTGCTAAATGCTAGGGATACAAAGAAAGACAAAAAACAGTCCCAGTACTCTGAGGTGTTGGCAGGGGAGGACGTTTGTATGTTCTTGATATATTTTTGAAGTTCATATTTCTTTGTAAAAGCTGATCTGAATGTTAAGTGGTTAAATGGAACTGGGGAACTAGATCCCCCAAACTGGGAGAATACAAGCAGTGAGAGCTTGATCGAAATGATCTAAATCCAGATGAGAAACCCTTCAGCCCCCTTAGGGTATTGGAGAGCCATGGAGAAGGGTTGGAAATGTAACTTACCTGGAATTCAGGCATTGGAGGCCAAAGTAGTCAATGTTACATATAAAACCAACAGTCCTCAATGAGGGTCACACCCTCTTTTTTTTTTTTGCATTTTGGCTAGGCAATGAGGTTGAGTGACTTGCCCAGGGTCACACAGCTAGTAAGTGTCAAGTGTCTGAGGTCACATTTGAACTCGGGTCCTCCTGACTCCAAGTGATGGGGTTGGGATCTGGGCCCCAGAAAGGAAAAACCCTGGACTTTCCCACACCGTCAAATCTCTGGCATAACCCTGAGACTATAATCCCATTAACTGGCCTTTCATTGTGGATCTCCCTATGGCTCCAGGCCATTTCTCTCTTCTCCCTTGGCCAGGTGGCCCAGGTCCCTGGAATTCTATTCATAGTCATATGTCATAGTCATAGACTACTTGGCCACTCCTAGATCCCTCCCATAGTGTTTCTGTCTATAAGGTAAGATGCTCAGATTCCTAAAATCTAGCCACAGTTTAGATTCCTATAATCTAGCAACTGCTTAGATTCCTATAATCTAGTCACTGCTTACCCATGTTGAGACTCCATAAGAGTCTGCCCAATATGATGGATGTTCTAATAAACCTTGTCTTTCGCTGAAAGAAGGCTTGGGTCGAATTCTTTCGGGCAGGACCTGTGTGATTTTGGGGTCCCAGGACCCCTGAACCTCTAAACTGCATCACAAGGCTGGGGCTGTATCCACTGTGTCACCTAGCTGACCCTCTCATCCTCTTCTAAGCTTCCATAATAACTATTCAGTCCAATGCTAACATATACTATGTATAATGACAATTTCACAATTTCATTTCAGCAATAAGCAACAAAATTTAAAGACTGACACACACAACAGTATAACAGTAACTTGTCTGGCCTTTTAGAATTGTGTTGAAAATTTTGTTCTCAACTTATAGTCTAGACACAAAAAAAAGACAAAGGAAAAAATTTTAATAAATCTCTACAGTGGTAAATAGTAGCCTTAGTCTTTTTGTGGTGGCAAATTGGAAATTGAGAAGACGCCCATCAATTGGGGAATGGTTGAATAAGTTGTGGTATATGAAAGTAATGGAATACTATTGTGCTATAAGAAATGATGAACAGGATGACTTCAGAAAAACCTGGAAAGATTTGTATGGTTTGATGCTGAGTGAACTGAGCAGAACCAGGAGAACGTTGTACATGGTAACAGCCACATTGTGCGATGACTAATGTTGATAGACTTAACCCTTCTTAGCAATACAAGGATCTAAGACATCTCCAAAGGCCTCAAGATAGAAAATGCTATCCATATCCAAAGAAAGAACTATGGAGTTTGAATGCAGATCAAAGCATACTGATGAGGTTGGGATCTGGACTCTAGAAAGGAAAAACCCTAGACTTTCTCACATGGCCAAATCTCTGGTGTTTGCCTGAGGCTATAATCCCATCAACTGGCCTTTCATTGTAGCTACACCCAATCTCCCCTCCATTGTCTTACCTCCCTATGGCTCCTGGCCATTTCCCACCCTTAATCCTAGCTAGGCTCCATTCTCCCTCAGCTACTTGGTCCAGGTCCCAGGAGTTCTGCTCACTCCAGTTTACTGGCCACTCCTATCCAAATCCTCCTTAGACCCCTCCTCCAGTCACCCCAAACTACTTGGCCACTCCTAGATCCCTCCCACAGTCTTTCTGTATATAAGGTCTATCTTGTCACCATTAAGGTGCTCGGATTCTTAAAATCTAGCCAATAGCTTACTAATGTTCAGACTCCTTATGAGTCTGCCTAACATGATTGATGTTCTAATAAACCTTGTCTTTGGCTGAAAGAAGACTTGGGTTGAATTCTTTCGGGCAGGACCCATGTGTTGTGATTTTGGGGTCCCAGAGCCCCTGACCACATCAATACTATTTGCTACTTTTTTTTCCTGTTGTGTTTTGTATCCTCTTTCTGGTGATTCTTCCCATTAGTTCTAATTCTTAGTTACAACATCACTAATAAGAAAACATGTTTAATAGGAATGTATATGTAGAGCCTATATCAGATTGTGTACCATCTTGGGGAGGGAGGTGTGGGGAGGAAGGTTGAGAAAAATTTTAAACTCAAAAGTATATGGAAGTGATTGTTGATAAATCAAAATAAATTAATTTAAAAAAATAAAAATTTTTAAAAGACATTATTTGCTTATTAAAACAATGTTTCCTTTCCCAACATATCTGTGTAAGGCTGAACTTTCTTCATAAACTTCAACCAAAATGACTGTGATGTTTAAAAATGTTCAAGAGACATAATTTCTGGGTAATTGAATAATTTTATTAACAATGCCAGCATTTTTATTAATAAAAGGATGATCATTTGGTGTCTCTCTTGCACCAAAGACAATCATAGAGGTGGGTTCACAGCTTACATGCCCACTGGAAGAGGGGTGTTCTCAAGGGTGGTAGTCAACTCTGATAGGTTAACAATGAAAGAATTAATATTACAGTGAGGGGCTAAACTTATTCAAATGAACTTTGATTATATCATTTAATTCTAAGTTACTCCCAAACTTGAATTTATCCCCACCCAAACCTGAGTCGAGCATAATGGCTTCCCCACCTGGGTGAGGTCTGACCAAGATTGTTAAATTAGTCCAATCTCATTATCAGTAATGTCCTTCTAGAGACTGAATTTTTGAAATCAGAACTTTAAAAAGAGGAGGGAACTCTGGATCTCCCCAAATCATTGGTTATTAATAATCACTTTTCTCACAATGTATCACAACAGACTGAATGCAGAAGCAGATATGAGAATATAGCTATCTTCACTTAGGCCAGACATTAAAAAGATTTGCAAAAATACATAAAGCAATGCTACTCTATTCACTAATTTTTTTTTGCTTTGTAAAATGTTTTTTTAATTAAAATATGCTATTTATATTAACATGTAATAGATTTATTATTTTTAAATGAATATTTTTAAATTTTATCAACTTTAATTCTTAATGTAGTAGATAGCAATAGATATAACCCACATAAACAAAAGCTCTCAACAATTATTAAAAGTGTAAAGGAGTCCTGAGATCAAAATGTTTGAGAACTGCTGACCTAGACCATGGTGCCTCTCAACAACTTCCTTTTCAGTCTTGGTGAAATAGTCATCAAGTGTTGGTTTCTTAGGAATTACAGTTCCACAGTATCTGGACTAAGTCCTTGCCAATAGTGTACCTCTCCCTCCATATTTCTGTCACCTTTCTCCTTTGGAAACTTTACTAATGATAATTCATGCTCACATGGGACTTTGTGGTCTCTAGGGTCATTTATTTCATTTGAACTTCATACCTACCAATAAGTCACTAGAAGAATTATTATCCTCATTTTACAGATAAAGAAACTGAGGGTCAGACAGGTAAATGGGGCAGAGCCAGGACTGTAACCTAAATCTTCTGACACCCTGCCCTGTGGTTTTAAATTTTAAAGCACCATATAGATGGAAGCCATGACCACTACCACTCTTTCCACTGCACCTTGCTACCTTCTATAAAGTGTTGCAGAAACTGTAGGGGTTGGGGGAAGAGACATGGAATGCAGGGAAGAGAATGGAGAAAGGCAAAGTAGGAGGTAAAGGAAGGGAATTTGAAGTAGCAGCTGAAGGGAGAAAGGAGTACATTGGAAGGGGCTGGCGATCTCTCCCTATACTTTCCCAATTTGTAATGAGCTACAGTAAGGCCCTCCCCCAATGCCGGAAGCAAATCACCATCTCTTGGACTTTGCAGCCCTGGGCACTCCCTGCTGCCTTAAGTTTATGGCCTCTCACCAGTTTATTTAACAAAAAGTCTCTCCTCCTGTTTCCTGTCCTCCCTTAGATCTCCTCCCCTGCTGCACTCCCCAGCCCCTTGCACACACAACAGCCAGGGTGAGGCATTCAAGAAAACTACGTCTCCCTTGCATCTCTCATCACCTTCCCCTCCCCATCCTTCAGGAAGACCTTACAATAAAACCTTAATAGGAGCTTGACTCACTTGGCAAAGGCTTTCAGTTCTGGAACCTGGGGAATGCTGGGTAAAGAATGATTGATTCCCTGGAGTTTGAACTTTCTCAGCTGACTGTTGGAGGCTGGGGGTATAGGGAAGAGTGGAAGGCCAGTTAGTTTTCTTTCCAGATATCTATAGGATCACAGGACTTATAGAGCTGGAAGGCACCTTAAATATCATCTCTAGACCAGCCCCCCCATTTTACAGATGAAGAAACAGAGGCTCATCCCTTTTCCTATTCCTTTCCTTCACTGACTTATTTAAAGGTCAATTGAGGAGAGAGGGAGTTTGCCGAAAAGGTTGAAGAGCCCCAGAGGAGCTCAAGCTGGGACACACCGTGATGCCCTCAACCCCCTCCCTGCAGACAATTCATAAAGGGGTGTATTGCCCCATCTGTACCGGCCCCCCTGAGGACCCAGTGACTTCCCCCTGTGGACATATCTTCTGCAGATCCTGCCTCAAGCCACCCTCACCGATGGGTGCCAACCCCTCTAGGCTGTGTCCAATCTGCATGGAGAAGAGGCAACCAGAGGTCCTCCAGCCCCGGGTCTGCGCCACAGAGAACATTAAGATCCTGGGCCAAATAGGAGAGACTCACTGTGATGAGCACGGTGAAAAAATTTACTTCTTCTGTGAGAATGATGGGGAGTTCCTTTGCGTGCTCTGCCGGGAGAGTTCCAATCACCAGGCTCATGCTGTGGTACTCCTGGATGAAGCCACTCAACCCTACAGGGTAGGAAGCTCTCTATTATCCCTAGTTGTGTAGGGGTGGTTTGATAGTTTTAGGTCAACCCCAGAGGCCCCCATTTTCACAGTCAGTAAGGCAGAGCAGAGTCTTGTCCTGGGTACAGGTGACAGGAGGAATCCAGAGGAAAGGGACATTTTCCCCAGACTGAAAGAGCTCCCAGTCAGATGAGAGAGGCAAGACATAGGAGAGAAAATAGAGGTAGATACTCCTCTCTCACAGGAAGCTGCCAGTCAAATAGGGGAACCACAATTACTAACTTCTGGCACCTTAGAGGAAGAATTTGGAGAGCCTTCTTCAGAACAGAAATCTCCCAGAGGGAAAAAGAGTGAGACAGGAGTGTGGGGGTGGTGTGGGGAGATGGGAGCAAAGGGACCAAATGACTGGGGGGGAAAGCCTATGTACATAAATGAATAAATCATCCAATTTGATTGGGAGAAGATCTCAAGGTCCCAGCTCTTTAACTGATGATTTTATAATGCCCCTAGACAGTTGTGAAGATAGCTTGAAATGGCTGCACTTATTAGGAGAGAGGAATTCATAGATTCATAAAAGTTAAATTTGGAAGGAATCTTAGAGATTAGTTCAGTCCCCTCATTTTGCAGATGGGAAAACTGAAATACAGAGAAAGGATCTTACCCAAGGTTAGAGTACTAGGTAACAGACCTCATACTTGACCACAGGTCTTCTAAAAATTTTCACCATTTGCTTTTGAGGAGATTATCCCACCAAACCTATCAGATACACAAGAGTTACCACTAATTCAAGAACCCCTCTACTTCCTTCCTTCCACCAGGAACGACTCCGGAGTAGATTAGAGGTCCTTCGAGTGGAGAAAGAAGAAATGGAGGGCATGAAATGTCGGGAAGACCAGAAGCTCCAGGTGCTATTGGTAAGGAAGCATCGCCAGACAGCTGTTCCTCTTGAAGGTTGCCCTTACAAACTTTAGGGACACCTGTTTTCTGGTAGTGTACTGGTTCTGAAGTCAGGATGACCTTCAGATCCTACCTCTGCCTCTTATTAGCTGTATAACTATGGGTAAATCACTTAATTTCTTCAAACTTCATTTTCCTCATTTGTAAAATGGGAATAATATCTACCTCACAGGGATGACGTAAAGTTCAAATGATTTGATGCTTATGTGCTTCACAAATTTTAAAGCACTATATAAATGCCAGCTATTGTTATTATTATTATTACTGAAAATTTATCATTTCCATTGCCTTAGTCTTCATGCTCAGAAACATCACCTGGCTTTCTCACAAATTCCCTTTCCCCTTAAAATTGAGGATTTGAGCTGGAAGGGGTATTTATGATCATCTGATCTATGCCTCATTTTATGAGAAGAAAAGTGATGTCCTGAGAAATAAAGCAACAGGATCATAGGATTTAGGGCTAGGAAGGAACTCATAGACCATTTGGTCCAACCTCCTCATTTTATATATGAGGAAATCAAGGCCTACGAGTAGGAGAATGACTTGTTCAAGATCACAAATCTAATAAATAGCAGATTTGGGATTCAAACCCAGGTCTCCTGACTTTAAATCCAATAATCTAACTAAACCAATTGATTTAGATGAGGCCAGGGAAATGTCATCCTGGAAAAGTAGCCTAGTGGAAAGTCTCTGGGATAATATTCAGGAAGTCTATTCCATGGATTTGGAATCAAGGCACCTGAGTTCAAAGCCCAGCTTTGAGACTTGTTACTTATTGTAGGTCACTCAATCTCTCTGAACTTCTTTTTTCCTCACTTGTAAAATGTGAATGATACCTACTCTTCCAAGCTCTAAGTCTTTTGTCATTTGGGCCTCTGTCCTCTGCTGTCTATGTATTAGGATATTAGTATTCTAATAAGAGACTTTTGACAGGTGGTGTGGTATAGCTGATAGAAAGCTAACCTTACTGTCAGTAAGTTCTGGATTCAAGTTCTGCTTCTGATACATATTAGTTGTATGACCATGGATAAATAATCTTTCTGTACTCCAAGCATCTGTACATTTCTGTACTCCATGAAGCTAAGTGATGCAGTGGATAAAGTGCTGTGCCTGGAGTCAGGAAGACCCAAGTTCAAATCCTGCCTCAGGCTAGCTATATGACCTTAGACAAGTCACTTAACCTCTGTCTGCCTTAGTTTCCTCAACTGTAAAATGGAGAAAACAGCACCTACCTCCCAGGGTTGTTGTGAGGATCAAATGAGATAATTTTTAAGTGCTTAGCACACAGTAAGTGCTAAATAAATATTAGCTACAGTCATTAAGATAACATGTAAGTTGCAGATGAACTGCTGATCTGCACTGCCAGAGGAACTTTCCACAGGGGAGTTTCATCCATTCCTTAAATCATGTCTAAACTCTATGGGTTGTTCAAAGATTGAAAGATTTTTTAAAAAACTTGAAGAGGCTAGGGGGCAGCTAGGTGGCACAGTGGATAGAGCTCCAGCCTTAGAGTCAGGAGAATCTGAGTTCAAATCCAGCTTCAGACACTTGACACTTACTAGCTGTGTGACCATGGGCAAGTCACTTAACCCCAATTGCCTCACCAAAAAAAAAAAAAAAAGACTTGAAGGTTTCCAAATTGAAAGATATTATCCACTTACAGTAGAATATCAGGTATAAAAGTTTCTGGGGTTGGGAGAAAATTCTTTAGTACAACAGATCCTGCTAAGCATTCTTAATATTACAGTATGTAGGTAGCCACCTACTTCATCTATGTTTAAGGGCAGCTGGCCTACTCTGTCACCGTAACAACAGTCAGTTAAGTCACACAGTGGATAAAACACAGTACCTGGAGTCAAGAAGACTTGAATTCAAATCTGCCCTCAGATACTAGTTGTGTGACCTGGGCAAGTCACTTAACCTCTGTCTGCCTCCATTTCCCCACCTGTAAAATGAGTAATAGTAGGACTTACCTCAAAGAGTTGGTTTAAGGATCAAATAAGATAATATCTTATTAAAGCACTCAGTACAGTGCCTAGTCCATGGTAGGCACTTAATAAAATGCTTGTTCCCTTCTCATTCTAACAGTTTGTCTGTAACAAACTGTGATCTTGGGTAAATCACTTGACTTCAGTTTCCTCAACTGTGAAATAGAGAGAATCATCCCAGTACATCACACAACGGTGTTATAAGGACATTAATAGATTATACATATGAAACTACTAAAAATCCAAAAGGACCATTAAAATTACAAAGGGATGTTCTTAAGAACCTTAAAAGATTTCTAGAGTAGATGAGCAGATGATGCCAATCCCTGACCATTAATTAATAAGTCTTTCCTGGGATCTAACTTAAGTATATCCTACTGTTATAGTATACACACTTGGCTGTTGCTCATCCTTCTTTTTGTTTTGTTTTGTTTTTTGTGAGGTAATGCGGGCTAAGTGACTTGCCCAGGGTCACACATTTAGTGTCAAGTGTCTGAGGCCGGATTTGAACTCAGGTCCTTCTGACTCCAGGGCCAGTGCTCTATCCACTGCACCACCTAGCTAACCCCTCATCTGTCTTTTACAAAGAGAACCAATGACATCATGGGTGATGTCTTGACTTGTGCGTGAACTGGATTTAAGTGAGGCAAAGTGGCACAAAGTATTCAGCCTCAATCTCTCTTCCACAGTCGTCAAAGTCCAGTGGCAGGACAAAAGTCAAGATGATTAGCAATAGCCCAGGATGCAGTGAATGACCTTGCCATCTTCAATGTCAGACCAAGCTCTAAACACTCCACAGAGCCTGCTTCAGCCATCTTAATGGCCATTAGAACAAGTTGTTCTCATCGTCCTCTTCCACCAGGGGGAGTCTTCACATGCTTGGGGTAGACACCCCCCTACCTCATCGATGGGTTTGAGACCTGTCGATTACCTTCAACCTGGTTTAGGCCCTCTGCTGAGAAAGTTTTTACCAGGGTGTAGCTGCTGTGCATGCTACAGCTTCTTGGAACCACAGGTGAGTTAGTGCTTTGGAGAATCAGTCTTGGAATGATTACCTTATATCATTCTCATCCACTCCCAAAGACGAACCTTTCTGGGACATAGGATGTGAGTGATTATGACTCCCCTCAATGCTTTTCCCAACTACATACCCCTCCTCCCCTATTCCCTGTCTTTCCACTGCAGACCCAGATTGAATCCAAGAAGCAGCAGATGGAAGAGGCATTTGAACAGTTGCAGCAAGTACTTGGGGAGCAACAGCGCCTTCTCCTGGATCAGCTGGGGAAACTAGAAAAAGAAATCTGGAAGGAGAGAGATCATTATATTGCCAAGATCTCTGAACAGATTGCCCATCTTGGTGCTCACATAAAGGAGTTAGAGGGGAAGTGCCAACAGCCAGCAAGTGAGCTCCTAAAGGTAAGCAATACTTCCTCTCTTATCCACATAAATAAGAATGTAGACCAGTCGATCTATCAGCACTTTGGACAGAGCCTTCCCTAAGCATAGGGAATAAGGAATTGCTGGTAAGAAGGAAATAATCATAGAATATCAGAAATGGAAAGGACCTCCTAGATCATTTAGTCTAGAGCTCTTGTTTTAGAGAAAAGAAAATTGAGAACTAGATTAAGGAGGTCACACAGCGAGTTAGTGGCAGATCCAGAACTTGTACACAGATAGAGCACAAAACTTCAAGTCTGGAAGATCTGAATTTGAATTCTGCCTCAGACACTTCTTAGTTGTGTGATTTGGGGGAAATCATTTAACCTCTCTGTGCCTCAGTTTCTTTGTCTATAAAAAGGAGTTGGACTCAATGGCCTTCCTGGTCTCTTCCAGCTCTAAATATATGATTCAATGTCCTAATAACTTGTTCCTGCCTTCAGGGAGTTCCCAGATTGATGAAGACATGACACACACCCAAAGAACATGTATAAAGTACAGAAAACATGAAACAAGTACAAAAGGATAAGTGGACATATATTAAAGAAGGGTGGTATCAAATTAGGGTTGAGGCAATATGTTACAGTAGAAAGGACCTGCTCTCCAGGAAAAAAAAAGTCTGCATGACACACTTTAAAGTTTAATCTGCGTTGTTAACATTTCCCTCATCATTTTCTTAAGTCTAGACAATCAACAAAACAATAAATCAAGTTATGATTTTTAATGTTTGCCAATTTCCGAAGTGTAAATGCTTACACTGAAAATCTAACAGTTGGCTCCCAGGTGCTGGTCCAAGCTAGCTCCAGCCTTCCCTACCCTTTACTAGACTGAATGCCAGCTTTAGTCCTAGCTCTGCCATTCGCTTTCAGTGTGACCTGAAAGTGAATTTCCCCTAATCTGGACTTCATTATCGTCTTTTGTAAAATGAGGAGGTTAGATTATATGGTATCTTAGGTCCCTTTCAATTCCCATATCCTATGATTTTATGTTTCCCTGAAGAAAAGGATTTGTGGGTGGATTTGGAAGGACAGAATAGGCAATGTTTAAGGTGGATGGGAGCTCCTGAGGAGGAGGGACACTGAGTTATATGTTCTTATTTTATTTTCTTCTAGGATGTCAGAATGACTCTGAACAGGTAAGTCTTCCTTCCTCAGTCCTCCTTCCCTCATACCAAGCACTAAGCCTTGCATAAATACAAACCTACACTAGCATCCACACAGACTTATTGACAAACTGACATTCTCATAGTCACAGAACATACTTATATAGCATCTTAAAGTTTTAAAAGGGGTTTCATCACAAACAACCTTGTGAGGTAGGTAATACAAGTACTATCATCCCATTTTATAAATGAGAAAAATGCTTATAATTAAGTTCCAAACAGGTATGTGAACACCTTACAATTGCAGGGGACTCTCTCAAACATTCTTCATTTGTATATGTGTATGTGTGTTTGTATGTATGTATGTAGAATGTAGTGTTCAAGCTAATACCAGGACCAGGTCTTCTGAATTCAAGCCTAGCAGGGTCTCAAACACACATATTGTCTTCCCCATATACACCCCTGCACTGACATAACCTCATAAAGTCTCAAGCCCATTAACATGCATATGCTCTCACACATTCTTTTTCATACATGTACACCCCTACAACGACAAACACTGTGGCAAACTCATACACACACAAACACACACATATAGTCTTCCTAACTGACCAACTAGTTGTATTCCAAAGTCTGTTGTTTAGCATTCAAACATATTTCCCCACATCAACAAGTGGTTAGGTTTCTAGGACAATCCAAAGAAGTTATATGGTCATGGACTGAGAGTTGAAGGGAATCTTAGAGGACATTATGTCATACAAGTCCTTCATTTTGAAGTTGAGGAAGCTGAGGCACAGAGAGGTAAAGTGACTTGCCCAGAGTCACACAGTAAATATCTGAAGCAAAATTTGAACCCAGGTCTTGCTGACTCCGAGTCCAGTACCCATCCATTATATCAGTGGTGTCAAACTCAAATAAAAATGGGTCCCTGCAGGCCACATACTGATTTAGAAAACCATAAATTAGCATTACATTGTATTGTATTTTTATTTATTTTGTTAAACAATTGCATTTTAATCTGGTTTGGCAGGTGTGTGGGCTGAGTTTGACATCTCTGTACTATACCATATTATTACTAGTACAATAATTAAGGCACAAGAAAAAGTGTCAGTGAGGATGGAGAACCAGCCATGAGTAAGGAATAACTCAGTTCAAGCAAGTACTGCTTCTGGAACACAGTGGCTGCATGATGCTGGCTTAATCTTCTTCAGGTGTTCTCTATGCCATTGAAATCATAAATCTGCTCAAAAAATTTTTTTAAGCTACAATCAGATTTTTGTGGACTTCCCCAGGGATCTAATTTCCATGTATGTAGTTGTTTGTATGGAGGAAAGCTTTCTGTGGTAGACTGAGTGAAAGGAACTCTGGAACACCAGAACTCATCTACCTCCCCCTTTTCTTTACTTCATAGGTAAGTGAAGTGAATACGTCTTTCCCTTTGGCAACATGAACCATTCATAACACACAGCAAAATATATGTTATTTCATTAGAGCACCACACCAACATGTGAAATGAGGAAAATGAGTCACAGAAAGTATATGTGACTTGCCTAGGATCACCCAGAAGTAAGTAGTGAGACCACGGTTTACCTCCAGACAATAAAGCTTATAAATTTATTTCTCATTCTGGTACAACGTGGCAGCTTTCAATCAATAAATATTTATTGAGTGTCTATTACATGTCAGGCACTGGGGATACCAAAAAAGGTCAAAGAAAGTCTGTCTCTTCAAGAGCACACATACTGTCTTCTACACATACACCCCTGCAGTGACACAGTCCCATGAAGTCTCAAGCCCACTGACATGCATATGTTGTCTCACATATTCTTTTACACATATGCACACCCCTACAGTGACAAACACAGTTATGATGTCAAATGCTCCATGGCAAACTGATACACACACACACACAGTCTTTCTAACTGAACTAGTTGTATTCCAAATCTAATGGAGGAGGACAATATGCAAATAACTATGTAAAACAAGCTATATACTAGCTAAATTGGAAACAGGTCCAATTATTCCTGTGCGGATCCTAACGTACACAGGATTTAGTGAATATGTAGTCCCTGGGGCTCTGTAGGGAACCCACCTCAGCTTTCCAAGGTGTCCTTTAAGAAGCCTTTCCTGACCTATTCCACCTAATTGGGAATCATACCAGTCACTTCAAATTCTCCCCAGCTCCCCACTTTCACAATACAGTAGGAATTCTAGCTTTTCCTCTCTCTGGATCTCCCTGCTGTGCTTAGAAAGACCCATGCCCATATAAGGCACTCATTAAGATGGGGCTGGGGAGCAGTGACTAGCAGTACAATAAGCCAGCTGTTCACATATACAGGAGTCTCATAAATAGGCCTTTTGTAAGTTGGGATGTTGATCTCTATACATTCTCATCCACACCTTGTTATTTCCCTCTATCTCCCTACCTCCCCACACCACCCCTACCCTATCCACATTCTTTCTTACCAAACAGACAGAAAAGGATGTCTTTTCAGGATTATTCAGGTCATCGAATAGCACTACATTCTCTCAGCCAACAGTTGGAGATGACAACAGAGGTGGGATAGGCCTAACACCATCACTTAGATCACCCCATTTCATCCCTGATCTTGGGTGATAACAATGGTCTTAGAATCACAAGTCTTAAATTCAAGTACCTGTTTCATCAGTTACTAGCTGTGTGACCATGGGCAAAACACTTTACCTCTCTGACCTTTAGTTTCCTCCTCTATAAAAGGGAGAAAATCATGCATTCACAAGACTGTCCTAAGGAAAGTGCATTGCAAACCTAAACATGCTATCATCAATAACACCAGGGAGTTCTTCCTTACGTCTAATTAGAATCGCTCCTGCTTTAACAGTTATCTATTTTCACAAAATCGTAGAATTTTAGAGTTACAAGTGACCACAATGACCATCTAGTCCAATCCATACATGAAAAAGAATCCCCACTACAACATACTCAGCAAGTGATCATTCAATGGGGGCTTAAAGACCCTAATGAGAAGGAGGCTACTCCCTCCCAAGGCAGCCCGTTCCATTTTGGGGGAGCACTAATTGTTAGGAAGTTTTTCCTTAGATCAAATCTAAGTGTTTTTTTGCAGCTTCCCCACATTGTACCTACTTCTGCCCTTGCAGACCAAGCTAAATGAATCTAATTCTTCTATGACAACCCTTCAAATACTTGAGTCATCATGTCTTCATAAAGCCTTTCTCCTTCAGTCTAAGCATCCCCAGTTCTTTCAAAAAGCCCTCATATGACATGACCTTGAGACTCTTTAGTAGCCTAATTGCTCCCCCAAATGCTCTCCAGTTTATCAATGTCCTCCCCAAAATGTGGCATCTAGAACTAAGCACAGTACTGCCGATATGTTCTGACCAAAGCAGAAAACAAAAGGACTGTTCCTTCCTTATTCCTTTTTTTAAAAAAATGTTTTCTTCTCTTTAAAAATTTATTGTTTTGTTACATTTTAAGTCCGGAACTGTCTCCCTTCCACCCTCCCCACCCCACACTAGAGAAGTTTCCTTCCATATTCCTAGATATTGTGCATCTCTTAATTCAACCTAAGATTGCATTAACTTCTTTGCTTACTACTTCATGCTATTAATTTATTGAGCTTGAAATACATTAAAACTCCCAGATACTTTTCAAATGAACTGCTGGTGAGCCATGCCTCTCTTATCTTTTACAAAAATAATCAAAGTCAATTTTTTGAGCCCAGGTATAGGGTTTTCCATTTATCTTTATTAAATTTCATCTTGTTATATTCAGATCTTTTTGAATATTGATTGTCATCAAAACATGCTAATTATCCCTTCTAGCTTTGAGCCATCTGCAAATTTGTAAGCCTAATGTCTGTGCCTTTATTCAAGTTCTGATAAAAACATTAAATAGTACAAGGCCAACCACAGATCCCCAGGGGTATTCCACTGGAGACCTCTTATTATGTTGACTTACTGATATTGATAGATCTGTGATCTCATCAATTTGGGTGTTCTCACTAATGGTGTAAACATACCCTCTAATCCTATGCAAGTCTCAGAAATGGCTTGACAATTTGCCCTGTGGTTCTACACTCACAAACCCTATGACTGCCTAGACCAAAGCTTCCTTCTTGGCCACCACTAGTTGATATGTGTTGTATCTACCTAATAGAATATACGCTCCCTGAGGGCAAGGACTGCCTCATTTTTGGATTTATATCCCCAGTTCCTAAAACAGTGCCTGGAATCGAGTAGGCTTAGTGATGACAAGTTTGATTGATCCTACTGTAAAATCTTCACATGGGATCCATCTAAGATTCTCCCTGAAGTTCTCTTGACATTGATACTATTGGAGCATGAGTAGTACACTGGTTAACACTTGCTCTTACCATATAACTGCCCCACCTTCTTTTCCAGTCATGCATCTTTCTGATGATTGCCTTTATGCCACTTGCCTCCAACAATTCTGAACTGATGATATGCTGCAGCCCACTCACACCCATCAAGTGCTTCTAATAAAATGACTCTCAACTTTAAATCTTCAAAGACTGTAGTATTCCATGACTCAGAACAGCACTGGGATAATAATGTTATTTTTTTAGAAGACATGCCTTTATTACAGAGTGAAACTTGAGATCATTAAAATCATTGCACAATTTCCCATATGCAATCCAAGTTGCTTTCCTCCTCTTCCTATCCAACTCTGGGTCCAGGCTCACTGTTCATGTTTAGTGTCTTTCTAAGGCTGACACACTAGTGGATAGGTTGTTAATCCAATTTTATATCAGACAGTCTATTAAATTGGCATTGTTCATCCACTTGGTTCTTTTAGTGGAGATAGTTATAAAGGACTCTTTTGAGCATTTATGTAGGAGATACCTCACTTAGGAGATGTAATCAACAAATAAAAAATAGGCACATCCAGAGAAACTCACTATCTACAAGGAAGCCCTTTCTGATTTAGATTGTATATATGTCATGACAGTAACAAAAAACTTTAGCAAGCATATGTCTAACAATTTCATGTCTCACCTGACATCAATCAGAGGGACTCTGAATAAAGTTATCTCTGATGTTACATCTTTCAAGGAGTGACACATTACAAACGTGGGAAATGCTTATTGGAGAATAAAGTCTTTAAAGTGGCATCGTCCTCAATGAAGTACAAAATATTCTATTAGTAAGCTATCAATAAGCAAGGTGGGATCTTGTGTTTGCTATGCCTTTCAATTATGTGACTGCAAAGGTATGGTCTACTGTAGAGTGATAGCATGGTACACTAGAAAGGGTAATGGATTTGGAGTCAAAGGGCCTGGATTTAAATCCTAGTTCTGCCACTTACTTCCTGGGCCACCTCTGGCAAGTTAGTACTCCTTTCTGGGATTCAGTTTCCTCATCCGTAAATGAAAAGGTTAGGCTCAATGAGATCTCTAAGGCCCCTTCCAGCTCTAAAACTATTATCTTATAAATCTTATTTGCAAAAACCTGCTTGTTTCTCACACCTTCATCAAGGATGCCCTCAATGCCTGTGTATGACATTCTCATAAAAATTTTGTAGAAATAAGAAAGTAGGTCAGTAGTTATTAATATAATCTAGTTCATCTTCTTGTGCTAATAATAAGGTCTGAAATTTTTGGAAACTTTTTGCAAGGCTCCTCTCTTTTAGACATATTAAGAACTGATATTCCAACATCCTCGAAACTGTGTTGCCTCCATTACCTGCCTCTTCTGTACATACTTGGTTTAGAACAGCTTCTCTTCGCAGCTTTGTTTTCTTTATTGATATTTCGACTTTCTTTTGCAGTCTGTGTTGACATCAAACCACTAATGATTACTTTTGGGTCTAGCCATTCAACCAGTTCCAAAGCAACCTAATTATTTCATCCACATTTTCCCCATCTTTACCACAAGATTAACATAAGTGATTATCAAATGCTTTGCTACAATCTAAGTAGCTACAATCTAACTATATCTACAATACTCTCGACTTAGTAAATTAATATTCCTGTCAAAAAAGAAATAATTTTAATCCACAATAAGTTTGTTTTTGGAAAAGTCATGCAATGGCTTTTCTTGATGTTCAAAAACCATTTTGGCTGAAATGAAGCCTGAAGTCAAGCTTGTTCTATAGCCTATGCAGGCTCCATTCTCTCTGCTCTTTTGAAAACTGAGACATTTTCCCTTCTCCAATCCTGTGGGACCTCTCCCATTTTCCACTTTCTATTTTATTTTTAATACATTTTTATTGATGTATTTTGTTTTTAAATCATCATAGGCATCCTCCCTCCCCTCCTTCCTAGAGAGCCATTCCATATAACAAATGTTCTTTTTAAACACAAGACAAAAAAAAAAAAGAAGAAACATCAGAACAATCAGGGATTGTGTCACCCTGATCTTTCAGTGGACTTAATAATTTATTAGTAAACTGTATCTGCAGGTATGAGAAGGGGACATATATCAGTCCAGAACCTATTTCTCCTGGCCTCGTGAGAAAGATTCGTGATCTCCACCAAAAAATATGTGTTCTCCCGGAGATGATGGGAAAATTCTCAGGTAAAGAATAAGGGAACTGTAGCTTTCCCAGATTCCACCTGCACAGCTCTGGGGAAAGGAAGAATTCAAGACCCTCTCCTCCCTACCAAACCCTTGCCTTCTCTGCCTTTAGAACCTGGTTTAAAACTCCATTCTTCCAGAAAGCCTTCCCTAATTGACCCCATTATATGCCAGTCATTGTATTTATTCAATAATCTCCTAACCTCCCAACCCTGCTCACTAAGAGCAAGTGCCAGATATCCCCCTCCTCATTAGACTAGGAGTTTCCTGAAAAGAAAGAACATTTCTCTTCCATTAAACCGAGAGCTTTTCATCCCTCTTGATTTCCCCACAGTGCCTAGGACAGAAAGAGCTCTGTCTGCAACAGGCCCTCAGTACAGAGGGGGGTACCTGATTGACACACTCGACTGGATCCAATCTCATCTCTCTATTTCTCCTCTTCCCTAGAAAATTTGCTGCTTCATCTGGAGACCAATACAGGTAGACACATGGAGATGATGGGGTGGAAGGGAACAGTTGGGTGAAGCTCGTTACCTCAATTTTCAATTCTTAATTATCTGACTTGCAGCCAATCCACTCCCTCCCACCAAATTTGGTCTTTACCTTCTGTTTGATGATAACATAGTAGGCAAAACACTGGACTTAGAAGCAGAAAACCTGGTCTTGTCTGAGTGTTGGCTCTGCCACTGATGACCTATATGACCTTGGGCAAGTCCTTTTACCGCAGGATCATAGATCTAGAGCTACTGGGGAATCTTCAGAGGCCATCGAGTACGACTCTTCATTTTACAGATGAGGCATCTCAGGCTTTGCCCAAGGTCACATACGCAATGTCAGAGAGGATTTGAACCCAGGTCTTCTGACTTCAGAGCAAGTGCTTAACACATGGTACTACTATAAAATAATAAATATAATTTATTTAATAAACGCATTTTGACTGATTGATTGACTGATTGATTTCCCCTATAGTTCTTGGTCTCATTTTCCTTGAAAACTGTACAATAAAAGAGGGAAATGGATGTTGGGCTAGAAAATCTCAATGATCTCTTCCAACTACATGTCCTATAATTCTATGCTGCCACTAACATGCTGTGGGATCTTAAGTAACTTGCCCTCTCTGGGCCTCTATGAACTCATCTGTAAGATAAGAAAGAAAATAATTACAACTCATATTTACAGAGAACTTGAAGTTTACAAAGTGCTTTCCTCCCAACAACCATGTGATTACCCATCTTACAGATGAAGACAATGAAACTCAGTGAGATTAAGTGACTTAGCCATGGCAGTGCTAAGAGTCAGAGCTGAGATTTGAACCCAGTCACCTTACTCCTGATTTCCATGCCCTTTTCTAAGGAGCGTTCAACTCCAAAATTGAATGCTTATTAAATCCCTTTGTTGACAGCATCACCACTTCTGCTGTCAAGTCAAATCAAGGCAAGAAGCATTTATTAAGTGCCTTCTATGTGCCAGGCACAATGCTAAGTTTTGAGGACACAACAAAAAGCAAAAATAGTCTCTGCTCTCAAGGAGCTCACAGGCCTTGGAGAGACATCATGCAAACAACTCCATACAAACAAGATATATACAGCATAAGGCACTAAGACTAAGGAAGTTGGGGGAAATCTTCTTGTAGAAGGTCAGACATTAGCTGACACTCAAGGAAGTCAGAGAAGCCAAGAATGGAGATGAGAATGGAGAGAGTACCAGACATGAGGGACAGCCAGTGAAAATGGCCCAAGTCAAGAGATGTGTCTTGTGTGAGGAACAAGCCAGGAGGCTGGATCACAGAGTACAGGGTAGGGTGGAGAGGTATAAGAAGACTGGAAAGACAGGAACAGACCCAGTTAAGACTGGCTTTAAAAGCCAAACATGGGATTTTATATGTGATCCTGGGAGCAATAGGCGGCCCGCTGTTGGGAGTTGATTGAATACGGAGGCACATGGTCAGACTTTCATTTCAGGAGGATCAATTTGACAATTGAGCAGAGGATGAACTGGAGTAGGGAGAGACAAGGCAAAGAGACCCACCAGGAGGATATTGCGGTAGTCCAGGCTCGAGGAGAGATAAGACCCGGCACCAAGCTGGTAGCCCTGTCGGAGGAGGGAATGGAGCATATCCGAGAGGTGTGATAGGAGAATGATCCTGAATCCATCAGGAGCTGAAGTAAAATTACTGGCCTAGATAAAGCTCAGGCTTTAATATTCTGCTGCTTTCTCTGTAGCAGGTGTCACTCTGGATCCCCAGACCGCTAGCTGGAGCCTGATCCTCTCCGAGGACAGAAAGTCAGTGAGATACACCAGACAGAAGCAAAACCTACCAGAGAATCCCCGGCGTTTTGATAGGCTACCTGCTGTATTGGGCGCTCAAGGTTTCTTTTCGGGAAAACATTCCTGGGAAATCGAGGTGGTGCTGGGTGATGGAGGTGGTTGTACTGTGGGTGTGGCCCGAGAAGACATGAAGAGGAAAGGGGAGCTGGGCCTGAGCACTGAGGAGGGCGTCTGGGCTGTGATTTTCTCCTATCACCAGTGCTGGGCCAGCACCTCCCCAGGTACTGATCTACCATTGAGTGAAATTCCCCACAGGGTTCGGGTGACCCTGGACTACAATGGGGGACACGTGACTCTCTCCGACGCGCAGACCCAGACCACAATCTTCGCATTTCCTGCCTCCTTCTCAGGCAAAATCTTTCCTTTCTTTGCTATTTGGAAAAAGGGCTCCCGACTCACTCTGAAACCCTAAAGGAGATGATCTCCCCACTTCTGTTTCCCGGACTCCTGCATTCACTGGGCTCTAGTATGGAGCAGACTTTTAACTCCCTCCCTTTTCAGCTCATTTCCAGTCAAATCTCTACATTTATAGAAATTGTTCCAAGAGTGTTTCACTTGCAATGCTGAAGCCAAATTAACCTCCTAACTTTTACATGTCAGTGGTGGTAGAATTGAATGAAAGTTTATTGAATGTCTACTGAGCTACTCAATTGTTATTCCTGTGGTACTGGAAAGGGGAGATGTGGAGGGTGGGGAAAAGGAGGGTGTTAGAAAGGGATACATCCTGAGTCACTTAATGGGGAAGAAGTCATTTCCCCTCTCTGGGCTTTAGTTTCATCAACTATAAAATGAGGGGGTTGACTAGCTGCTCTCTTAGAACTTGCCAGTTCTAACATTCTATCCCTAGTAAATGCCATCTTATAACCATCTTATAACCTTTACCCTAAGTAAAACTGGGTTCCCCAAGGTATGGGCTTACATGGACCAGTACAATCTTTTAAACAACACCTCCAAAATCAAAGCTACTTGGCTTATGTTGCTCTCACCCCCAGGATCTCCTATGCAAAATCTCCAAAAGTGGTTCAAATGTGGCTCATGTCTAGGTCTCCACGTATGGGTAAAAGTGTCCACAGCTCCTGGATGAGCCCTCAAATAACAATGCTTATATTGGGTTCAGGACAGCCTTTATTCCACCCCCAAAAAAGGGCAGAAAACCCTCCCAATAGCCCATAAACAATCAACACAATTCTTCTGCCTCTCTAGAGAGTCTCTGTTCTGAGCCTGAAGACCCCAGAGAGGCACCCATCTTTATAATATCCTGAAGCCTTGGGCCCCTTTCATAAAAGAAACAAACCTGCTAAAGGGATAACTGTCTTTACCTTCTGATAAGTCCTGCATTGCTGCAGAGGTAACAAGTAGGCATCTGGTTTGATGGCACAATGAGGAGAGTCTGATCTCTCCTAGAAACAAAACGAACTTGTGATTATTGGATAGGCAACCCTCTTTCCTATCAGACCTGCCTATTCACACAACCCAGAGTAATACCAGAGAGCAAAGTCCAGACCTCCTGCTTCCCCCACATCATGTATTTAGTATCTCATCTCTCTCCAGCTCTGCAAACACTTTGAACTATCTTGTTTTCTCTCCACAAGGACAATGCTACCCAGGAACTCCCCTTATCCTCATTCCCCATAGTGTTCCAGGTGCACTCAGCTCTGCTGCTCTCTGGTCTGTGTTCAGCTCTCTTAGGCTCTTACAGATCAAAAAAGAAAAAGGATGACTGCGATTGTTACTTTTTTTTTTTTTAATAGGCCCAGCACAAAGAGGTGACTCACACTCCACAGCAGTTCAAGCCAGCCAATTCATCCCCTCTCAATGAAACCCAGCCTCCACGAGTTGCCAAGGGGTATGGCTCTACAGGCTAGTACATAAACAGATACAAAGCACAGAATTCTTCTGGAAACTGCTGATTATTTAGCCCCTTGAATTCCTAATGACATGGGTATAATTAATAGGATCGTAAGATTGAGAACCAGAAGCTGAGAGATCATCTAATCTGATCCCTTCTTTTCTCAGACAAGGAAATTAAGACCAAAATTTACCAAGATAGGGAGAGATCCATGACTTCATCCCAGATCTCCTGATTCTCTGACCCCTTTCCATAACATAACAGGAGTCCTAAAAGTAGATTTTGGATTTAGAAGGATCCTTATAGGTCATTTAGTCCAACCTTCACCCAAACAACAAAATGTAAGGTCCTTGAGGGGAGGAAACATTTCATTTTTCTCTCTGTATCCCCAGCACCTCCCATAGCGTCACACATAGAAGATGCTTAATACACTTACCTATGTCTATTTCGTTGAACAACATTCCAACAAGTGATCATTCAGCCTTGGGATTGAAGCCCTCCAAGAACAGGAAATGCATTATCATCCAAAGCAGCATATTTTATTTCCAGACAGTTCTTCATTATGAGCAGAGATCTAGCTTCTTGAAATTTCTGCTCCACCATTCTGTAGTCTGGGCCTACATGGAACCATTCTAATTCTAATAAATATAATAATCATGATGATGATGATAACTAGCATTACATAGCACTCCAGGATTTGCAATGAGCTTTACAAATATTATGCCATAACTATCCTTGGAAGTAGGTACTATTATTACCCCCATTTTACAGATGAGGAAACTGGGACTGAGTAAGCTTAAGTGACTTGCTCAGGACATAGTGTCTGAGATTGGATTTGAACTCCAGGTCGTTGAGCCCTCTATCCACTGTTCAACCAAGTTGCATTGTTGGTAGATTGCTACTATAATTCAGGTGAGTGTAACTATTCAAAAGATCCTATGTTTACAGAATTGTAGACCTAAAACTGGAAGAGATCTTATAGGACATCTAGTGCAACCCCCTCATTCAAATGAAGAAATTGAGGTTCAGAAACATTAAGAATCTTACCTGTTGACACAAGAACAATAATTAGAGGCAGGATTTGAACCCAGGTTCTCTAACTTCAGGGCCAGGATTCATTCTACTACACCATGTTCACTCCCTTATTCCTGCTTTATTATTTTCACATGGCAACACCCTGCACTTGAAAATAATTTCCCAAGTCAGGATGTCACTATAACTAAGACCAACTACCTCTACTCTCCCCCCTCAGCCCTGAGGCTAAAGCTTAGTGCTAGCTCCCTGCCCTACCAATCTTGGAACACAGAAAAACAAGTGCTTTAAGGTTTACAAAGAGCTTCGGATACATTATTCCAATCAACTCTACAACAATACTAAAAATTCCCTATTTTACAGTTGAGGAAACTGAGTCTCAAAGGGGTATTGCATGATTTGTACATGGTCATGCAACTTGTAAATGCTAGATTTCAACCCAAGTCTTCCTGACTCCAAGTTCAACAGTTATCTATCACAGTATAGTTATTACCCCATGCTGTCTTGGGCTGGGGGGGGGCGGGCAGGAAAATAGGAGTAAGTAGTAGTAGTAGTAGTAGTAGTAGTAGTAGTAGTAGTAGTAGTAG